GACACCTTCTCGGGATCAGTCTGAATTCCGTCACTGCTGATGACGTGGCCGAGGTAGACGAGTTTCTGCTTGAAGAAGCAACACTTCTTCGGATTTATTCTTAAATTCGCGGCCCGCAATCTGCGGAAAACTTCCGAGAGATGAGTAAAGTGCTGGTCTTCTGTCGCGCTTATGATAATAATATCATCTAGGTAAGCGAAGGCGACCGGTTCCATTTCCACGCCGATTACACTATCCAGAGCGCGTTGAAACGTGGCGCTGGCAGAATGCAACCCGAAGGGCATGACCTTCCATTGATACAATCCTCTCCCAGGGACCGTGAACGCTGTATATTGGCGACTATCCCTAGCCATGGGAATTTGCCAATAGCCATGCTTCAAGTCCAGCGTGGAGATATATCGGGCGTGGCGTAATTTCTCCAGAATGTGATTGATTCTCGGGACTGGGTAGGCGTCGGGCACTGAGTGTGCGTTTAGCTGACGGTAATCTATACACATGCGCCAATCGCCAGTTTTCTTCTTGACCAATACGATGGGAGCGCTGTGTGGGCTTCTGGAGGGTTCGATGGCCCCGTCACGGAGCAGTTCGTCTACTTGGGCATCGATGACATGTTGCATCGCGGGGTTCCGGGGATAATATCTTTGTTTTACGGGCTTGTCGTCGCGCATGACGATGGTGTGCTCGGCGACGTGAGACACCCCGTGCAGTTTCTCGAATAGGGCCAGTTCCCGATCGATGAAGCTTTGTTGCGCCGGACTCAATAATGTGCTCTGTCGCTGTTCTTCGTCTTCTACCGTCTCCGTCCTAGTGGGCGCACCGGCATTGATGTTCGGGGTTATAGTTCGCGTGGGAATAGGACTGGGTATCTCTGCTTCTTCTGGCCTGGCAGTTCCCAAATGGGCACCAACCGCAACAGGGTGTACCGCTTTCTCCTGGTTGCCCCGCGCCTTTATAAGTACTGGCTGTAAGAAAGGGTCTCCAGCCGCTTGGGCTTCGTTTTGCAAGTCGAGTGTAGCTCGACCACATCGCACCTGAGTTCCCGCTACTTTGAGGAAGTCCATTCCAAGTATTACACGATCTAACATGGTGGGCATTACTAACATGGGTAAGAGCACCGTAGTGCCGGCTAACGTAACCGAGGTTCGCCAGAGCTTTGTCACATCCAGACATGACCGATCGGCCAACGCTATTCTAGTGACAACATCCTGTAACTCGTCTGCACGCGCGGCCAGTCGAGTAAAACTTTCACTGACGAAACTCCTCGATGCCCCTGTATCAATGGTGGCGTCCACACGTTGTCCTCCGACTTCTATCGCTGCTGTGATGAGCCCGCCGTGTAATCTCAACGGGGGTTTTACTGGGGTCGGGTTGCTGCTCCGTTCGTCTCCGCCGCACCCGGGTTCCGGCGGAGACGTTCTCCGTTTCCCGACGCATTTCGACGGCAACACCCTATAGTCAAAACTCCTGGTCGCCCACAGTCCCAACAAAAATCCCGACGTGGGTTGGGGCAGTTCCTTTGGAGATGTCCGTTCTCTCCACAGCGATTACAAGCCCGTCTTATATCTAGTCGAGAGGTTCCTTGACCGATCATCTGATGGGTCACATGTCCTGTCTGCGTTGAATTCACCGGATTCCGGAATGGGTTCGGCGATCGGCGAAGTTGAGGTTCTTCTTGGTTCCGGTCCGTGGTTACTTTTGGTTCGCGTCGAGTCGTCTCGAGTTGTTTGACACTCTCATATTCTGTGGCCATATGAGTCAATTGTGTCAAAGTCGCGAATTCACTGCGTTTAATATACAGTCGGTATTCCGGAGCCATGTTTTCATATGCCCGGTACAATTCTTCCTCTTCTCGATAACCGGCTTGCTGCATCTTGGTTCTGAGCTCGATCAAGTAGGTCTTGAAAGGCTCTCCTCTCCGCTGCACATGGGTCCGTATCTCATCTTCCAACCGCTCGAAATATCGAGGTGGTAGGAAGAAGTCGAGGAATTCCCTCCTGAAAGTTCCCCATGAGGCCGACTGTAGGTGGCTCGTGCGAAACCATCGTGCCGCTGGGCCCTCCAAGATCTCGGACATAACGCGGGGTACCTCCTCTGGATTTATCCTGTAAGTCGTCATCTTTTCCTCGAGCGCGGCGATGAGAGTCAACGGATCCGAACTCCCATCGAACCGTAGATTCCATTTGTGCATCTTCTCGGGGAGCAGATGTTGAGTTGGAGCCGTGCTGCTCCGTGTGTCTTGTCCTTGTAGATCGGCGGGTAAGCGGGCGTCTACCGGTGGCATCCAGCTACCGTGCGTCGATCCTGGGTGGATCCCTCGATGGCGGGCTGGTGTCCCGATCGATGTGGCTCCGGCCGTCATGGGAATGGTGAGGGATTCTGCGAACTGTCCCGTCTCACCGTTCCTGCCTGGAGGGTTCGGACTTGGGGCCCGGCTACTATATTGCACCTGCAACTGAGCCAGTCGGTCCCACACACTTTGTGGGAACGACCCTGTGTTGACGAGGTTGGCGAATGCCTTCCTGGTCTCCTCGACGGTTCCGTCGGCTTTAAAACCAAACTCCAGGGCGAGAGCGCTGAGTTCGTCTTTTCGACGAGCGTATATCCAGCGGACTCCTATACCTGGATTCTTAACAAAATCGGCTTCTTCGTACTCACCGTCAGATTCCTTAGGGTTACTCATCATTGGTTATCCTCTTCGATTTAGTTTGGCGTGAACTTCCTTCTCAAGTCTTCTAGATCCTTCCGGAGATCGGTTCGGGTGACTCTACCCTTCCTTTTCTTCAGTGGGTCTTTAAGCCACTTGGGTGATTCTCTAGCTAGTCTCGGTGTCCCTGCTCGGGCGCCACTTGTAAGGATGCTCTCTGGCCGGGGTACAGATCTCAGTCAGATCCAGGAGTCCTTTACAAGAAATTTGTAAATCACCGAAACACCGGACTAGAGAGTATCATTCAACGAGTGAATGAGTCGTTTGGGGAGTCACACCGAAGGTTCTCATAGACGCCAGGAGAGAGAGAGTTGGTGCCGGAGTTGGTCACGCCGTACCTTGCTCCTGGGTTAAAAATTCCACGGGCTGGACCTTAGGGCGAGGCCAAGCCAGGCGAACAGTTTTCGCGAGTATGGGGACGCCGGATGGTCCCGCTGATCACTTCCGCGATTGGGACACGTAAGTCGCTTTCCGCGTGTCGCAGGCCAAAAATTTACCGGGCTGGACCTTGGGGCGAGGCCAAGCCAGACGAACGGTTTCACGAGTATGGGGATGCCGGGTAGTCACTTCCGCGATTGGGACACGTAAGTCGCTTTCCGCGTGTCGTGGCCAAAAATTCACCGGGCTGGACCTTGGGGCGAGGCCAAGCCAGACGAACGGTTTCGCGAGTATGGGGATGCCGGGTGGGGTCGCGTCGCGCGCAAGTCGTTCTCGATGTATCGGATGCCAAAAATCCACCGGGCTGGACCTTCGGGCGAGGCCAAGCCGGATAGGATTTGTCGGATACGAGGGGGGATTGGAGGAGAAAGGATGGCGGTACGATTGACCAGCCGGGAATGATGTCCGCGCGCAGGTCACATGCACCATGAAGAGGAAAGCTATTGTACTAGACCAGACGGACCGGGTGTCCACGTGCCGGTCGCATGCGCTACGAGGAGGAAAACTAGGGTACTAGACCAGACGGGCCGGGTGTCCACGTACAGGTCACGTGCACTACGAGGAGGGGGATCTAAGGTACTAGACCGAACGGGATGGGTGTCCACGTCGGGTCTCAAATGCTACGATATGGGGAACCAAGATACTGGACCAGACGGGCCGGGTGTCCACGTACAGGTCCCAAATACTACGGGGAGTGAGGTTAAGATACTAGACCGGACGGGACGGATGTCCACGTACAGGCCCCATGCACTACGAGGGAGGGGGGAATCTAAGATACTAGACCGAACGGGATGGGTGTCCACGTCGGGTCCCAAATGCTACGATGTGGGGAACCAAGATACTGGACCAGACGGGCCGGGTGTCCACGTACAGGTCCCAAATACTACGGGGAGTGAGGTTAGAATACTAGACCGGACGGGACGGATGTCCACGTACAGGTCACATGCACTACGAGGAAGGGAGCTAGGCTACTATAAATAAAAAGAATCACGATCATGGAATTTACTTTGTTTTATTATTATATTTTTATTATTATTATTATTATCTTTCCATTTATCTACTGTCTTCCTATGAGTCCGCTACACCGTCCTTGCCTGACGGATAGGAATTTTGCATACACTAACCTCAAACACACTCACTAGTCCACTTCTTCATTAACCGCGTGCCTTCGCGCGGTCGAGGCGTTACTCGAATTATCCGTCAAGCGAGTTCAGGGAGGCGCGTCCGCTCCGTTCTACTTTTCCGGCACGAGAGCCCTTTATTCGTTCGCGCGCGGTCGAGGCGTTACTCGAATTACACGGAAAATTACTGCGGGAGACACGTCCGCCCCGTCTTACCATTCCGACACAAGAGACCTCCTGCCCGATCGGTGTGTGACCACCTTCCCCACGCTCCCTTTTTCCCGCTTTCGGGATTTCTAGTATATTTCTTAATTTCTAGTATTTTCTGTACTCACTAAATACCTGCTGGCGTTGCCACTCGGGTTCGGAACTTAGCTTAACTACGGCTTAATATTCAGTTTCAACTTAATATCTATTATTCATTATGTGTCACTTACACCTATAACTTACATACTACTAACTTAATATTTAATATTCACGATCAGACGCTTATACCTATAACCTAACATATTATTATTCAAAAATTGTATCGTACACCTAAGTGTGTACGTTACAGCATATAAAAAATCTTTTCTTTGTACGACTCTTTTTTTTGGAATTTTGTTTTAGAATTGCTAATCAGCGTTGGTTTTTTTTTTATATTTACGTGTATATATCATTTAGTTTAGTTTAGTTTTCCATTGTTATGCAAAAATTATTAACAAATCACAGTAAAAAAGCAACAATGCTAAAAATCGTTTCGTTATTATATGCTTTAATGTTTATGGTAATGCATATTATTATGTTTATGTAGTTATGGCTTCAAGTTCAAGGAGTTGGCTATTTATAACTGATTTAAGCATGCTGGATGAATTCATTAAATTAAGATAAATTATTAGACAGTAGGGGGGAATACTTTTAACCAAATACTACAAAGATTAAACATAGGTGTGTAACAATATTCGAATATACCATAATTTGATCGATAGGATTTCAGCGAGTTCGAGATTCTTGATCACGTGGAGATTCAGCAAATGAAAACAAATTAAATTGGAATGTTTTTGTTCGGTTGCCGATAAAATGAGGTTAACACTTAAATCTAACGCAAAATTAAACCAAAAGATAATATTTAAATAACATAGGAATATTCGGGGAATCGCTTCAGTTACATAGCCCACAACACTTGACCGACACAATAATATATGAATACATTTAACCACCATGAAAAAATCGAAGGGGCACTTGGAGTATATCAAATCCACATGGATATACGCAAAAAAAACACTGATAGCTTGGGGTTTCAATAGGCCTTTTAGCGGACTGCAGACCAGTGATATTGTTGTTGGCTTGTAACGCTTAAGTTAATAGAAACCGTAACAAATTGGTTCTGGGGATATAGAGCAATATTATTGGTCTGCAGTCCCTTATAGGTCTTATAACTAGGGACTTACAGTTAGGAGAGCGAGAGAGATTATTTACACATTGAGATAATCGAGGGTAAAAGCATCATTCGAAAAATATACACACAGATGTACAGATTTTAGGATGGGTCGATGCGTTTCAATGCAAAAAACATTCAAAAAAAAAAAGTCTAGGAAGCAAGGAAAAACTTTTATACAAACAATAAAAAATTTTTTTTTTTAAGAATCAAGAGAAATTACTTCGAAATAACTTTTGGCTTCCACGACTTTTTCCCAACGACATCGACCCGATCTTAACAGATATAGACAAATTGTGGATGGGTATTAGATTAGGCATCAACTGAAGGAGGTTGGTTGACTCGATTTCTATTCCTCCCAATCCTGCCGTTGCCGATTGCGATGTAGCAATCAGCTGCCCGCCACAAACCGTGGCTTCGCCGCATTCGCCTCCGACTGCTTCGGATCACTGCCCCACTCCTGCAGCTCGATCTCGCTGAGCAGGGCCCAGTTCTCGCTGTCGCTGTGCACGTGGAGGCGCAATTCCTTGATGGCCCCGATCTTGGCATCCAAGAGGCCCTCCGCGACGCCCAAGCTGTCGAACGAGCCCACCACCAGGTAGCCATCAGTGGTGGTGTTGTAGTTGCTCCACACCGAGGAATTCTCGCTCAGCGTGTCCGCTGGCAGCAGCTCCACGGTGGTATTGTAGAATCTATCCGACGGATGCTCCGAGTTTCCGCTCCGGAAGAGATAGTGTCGCAGTTGCGTGGGTCGTTCAAAGATGATCTGCACCAAGTCACCGGGTTGCGGCAGCAAGCCCCAAAAGTAGGATTCACCTCGATAGGCTCGCTTCAACAGATAGTTCTTGTACGGAGCAATATTGGACTTGACCAGAGCCGCCGGGTTGTGTGTATGGGCATAATACTGCGGCACTTTGCTGCCAAACTGTTTGTCCTTGAGCTTTTGCACCTTGCCCCTCAGCGAGGAACTAGTGCCGATGTGCTGGAACAGAGACTTGCGAAAGTGCTGCCAGTACTTGGCCTTCTCCTGGTTGCAGTGCTTCTGATCCTTGTCCGTGCGACACACCTTGGACTCAATGAAATAGGTGAGCAGCCAGTCGACAGGCTTATCGTTGTAGAACATTTGAAAGTAGGTGATCAGGTAGGGCAGCTCCGCACTCTTGAACATCTTGCCAATGAAGCCCAACTGGCAGAAGTCCAACACAAACCAGGCCGGCTGGTCGGGTTTGGTCAGGGCGCTCTTGATCAGTGCGAATTTCTTCATTGTGGTGATGAACTGTCGCTTGGTCAGTATATCATCCTCCAGTTGCACGTAGAAGGTGCCCTTCGAATGGGCATAGGCCATCAGGTAGGCAAAGTCCAAGTTCTGCTTGCTGCGCCACTTGACGCGCTCCAACGGATCGTTAAGCGTTATGCGAAGCCGCTCGAAATTGGGATAGTAACTGGCAGCCGGAGCTATTATATCGATCAGTCCGCTCTCCACATGCTGCTCAAAGCTCGCCTCGATTTGGCGGGCAATCAATTGCACCGAGTCCAGATCCGTTTCCCCTATGTACACGATAATCAGCGTTTCGTTCTGCTCCTCGTCGTTCATGTTCTCGATGAGATTGTGGAGGGTGCCGAGCAGATACGATTGCTTCTCCCTCCGCACGGTGGGCACGCCCAGTACAATGCTCACGTCCGAACGACCCTTGCTTTGCAAGTAGGCGGGCCGCAGGGAGCCCGCATCGTCGAGGAGATGCGGCAAAAAGTGATAGGCATTCGGCAGCCGTATGTTTTGATTCCGGGCCATCGAACCGTTCGCACCGCCACCCTTGCCGATGTGCGAAGCGTTCCGCAGCAGTTGCCTGGCCTCGGGACTTAGGCCATCGAGCAGATTGACCACTGACAGCGGTGGCGGCGGAGGAGCAGCACTGGTCCCCGTCCCATTGACACTCTGCAGCTGACCGAGGTATTGGGACAACAGGGATACGTCCTCCTGGCGGGCTCGGTACATGGACTCCAGGTACTGCAGCCGCATGTGGCATTCGGCCAGGCGCTGCGTCAGCGACTGTTCGGTGGATAGCTCCGGTCCCATCACCATCAGGATCACAATGCAGGGCGCCAGCACCAGGGCCGTCACAATCAGCATGCAATTGCGCTGCCTAATCTTGAACATCTTCCGTTTTGGCGCTCGCGGCCCGGAATCCTTCGCTGGCTATGTTATGCTAATTAGCTAACTGTTTGCCTTCCGCTTCTAGTTTGGCTTTTGGCTTTTGGTTCGCTCCCTGGTTCGTTGTGCTGGCGCCGTTCCCCTGGGCCGTCTGTCATCCTCATTCCTCGTATGACTAATGCAGGCGCTGCAAAGAAAGAAACAGCACATTTAGCTTTTACACGTCCACAATTAATTGACTATAAGGCAGTGGACTTTATCCAATAAATTCCATACTCTCCATTAGTCGATCAACAATAGCTTGAATTTTTCTATTTTTTTTTTTTTAAATTCATTTTATATGCATAACCAACAGCTTTCTTGCTTAATTAGAAATCGTTTTGCTAAACAGCAGGGTCTTTTAATTGTTATTTAAACAAAAAATAGTTTTCTACAACTTACATTTTTATGGTGGCAAGAAAAGATTCGGGTTGTAAATTTTTATTAAATATTTTTAAAACTGAATGCAGATAATTTACTGAATTTCTTCAAACTTATAAAGAAATCTAAATTATGGTTAATTTTAAATGTAAATTATGATCTCTAAATGGGGCCATATATATACATACATAAATGTGTAATATGAATTATACAAATAAGTGTGAATATTTTTAGGGAACGATATAATCGGTATATTTATTTTTAAGTTCTTTTAAAACAATATTTTTACTTTTTGTAATAAATGCAAGATGGTTTTCATACAACACACATGTTGTTGCTGCTAATTTGATTGGATATTTTTTTTTTATAGTGTGGGGGGTGCCCTTTTGGAGGGGGTGGGGTGGGTGTCTGAAGGTCGCACCGTTTAACGGTTCTTTGTATTCGCCTTTTTTCTTACCCGAGTTGGATTAACGACGTCGTCGGTGGTGGCAGCTGTCGCAATTCTCGCCACATGACCTGACCGTGGGTATAGAATAATAATAATTGTTATATACTGTGTGTGCACTCGAGACGATGGCAGGCAGTAGACTTTTAGACTTACATGGCCAAGAGCCCGGAAAGCTTTGTTCTCCTCCTCGCCGCTAAAAGGTCGATCGGTGGGTCTAAAAAAGGAGGAAACGCAGTTTACTGCTTGTTAATTGGTATCGTTGCGTTTGGCGATGAAAAAGGGTGGGTTTTTTATTAGCATTAAAAGGTTATATTGGACTAGTCAGCAAATCCCTAGGGTTTAGGACTTTACTTATATTATTAACTAAGCCCCATGGATTATCCCTGCTAGGTTAAGATCCCAAGAGAACCATGCTATAAATAAATAATACCGAATGATGTATATAGTTTCCCCGAATCTAATGTGCCGAACCTAATTAATTGAAATAATAAATATAATATATATTTAATAAAAATAAGAAAAAATAATAAATAATATATACCTATGAATATAAAATGCTAATTGTAATGAAAAACTTAAAGAGAACCATGCTATAAATAAATATTACCGAATGATGTAAATAGAAATCCTGAATATAATCTTCCGAATCTAAGTAATTGAAATAATAAATACAATATATATTTAATAAAAATAAGAAAAAATAATAAATAATATATACCTATGTATATAAGTTGCTAATTGTAATGAAAAACTTAAAGAGAACCATGCTATAAATAAATATTACCGAATGATGTAAATAGTAATCCCGAATATAATCTTCCGAATCTAAGTAATTGAAATAATAAATACAATATATATTTAATAAAAATATGAAATTATAATAAATAATATATACCTATGTATATAAATTGCTAATTGTAATGAAAAACTTAAAGAGAACCATGCTATAAATAAATATTACCGAATGATGTAAATAGAAATCCTGAATATAATCTTCCGAATCTAAGTAATTGAAATAATAAATAAATTAAAAAATTGGTAAAAAATTTTAATGAAAAGCTTAAAAGACTAAAATAAAAAAAAAAACTATTAAACAAAACCAATTTACTTCTTTATAATCCCTAGTGGTAATATTAAAAATATTTAAACATAAACAAAACGAAATTTTGTTTATATAGAACGTTGTCACAGTAAGGGTTAAAGTTATCGGATCTTGTTAATAAGCGCAGGAAAACGTAGAAATGCCATTTGGTCAAAAATCAAGAACTTAAGCTAATTTAAAGTTTTTTCCAAATGAATACAAAGCGTACTTTGCTTTGTTTTTATAAGTAACAACAAAGTCCGATTGTTTTTATGGCAGCTATAGGGATAAAGTTGTCTGATCCCGACCGTTCTGACTTTCATGTTTATGAAGTAATATCTTTCATAAAATAGAAAATCAAACATTTTTGTTAATGTTTTAATCAGATAGTTTTATCGAGTCAATCAGGAATATATATTTAAAATCATAATTTCAACTTTTTGCCAAAAATATTCGGATTGGACTTAGTCCTTGATATATATTTGTACCTTATTTTTTCACCTTCACTGTATTTTAATCTTCTGCTATAAAAACACCCAAAAAAATAATAATACTTTTGTTACCCTATGTACCGGGTATCAAAATTTCGAGATCATAGATAATCTAAATAAAATGTGCGAACGTTAACCATGCGGCGATCTCGAATTTCGCACTTCGTTTAGTATACGTAGGCGAAAGTAAACAATGGGCCACAAAGTTAAACAGATAAATAGGTAAATAAACAGCAACACCCAAAAGTTCGCACCCACGCACACATACACACACACACACACACACGCACAGCCCTATTTACTCACACTTAATTGCAGCGCAGCACAAATATGCAAGTAAATGAATTAATAAGCACTTAATTAGGAACAGATTGAACGCAGAGGCCTTTATTTATCCATCTATGGATTTTGTACGCTGGGTGTTTTCGCCAATTCGTCGTTTTGCCCTGTTTTCAGGTGCACCGATTTTTCGCCATACGCATTTTCGTTGCCTAGTTATTTTCACATCTTCTTTTCGCTAGTCCGCCGAGTGTGTTGTGCAAATGCAAATTATGTAAATTATTGCAGCACTAGCGACTGGGATTGTTTAATGTTATATACAGCGGGGAATTGGTTTTAACGCCCAAGCAAAAACAACAACAGGCTGGCTTTGGCTGCAATCAAACAATCGTTATCGATATTTGTGGGTAAACAGTGCTGCCGGACTGTCGCTGTCGAGTGTGGCATCTCTGGTCTTAACATTTAAAATCGGTTATAACAGACCAACAACAGGTACCCAAATTCCACCCATCTCTAGCGGCTCTATAAACAACAAAAGATTTTCGCAATATGTTTTTAACTCTACTTAATGGCACCGGTTTCGTTTTCAATGTTGACGGTAAGCAGGCACTTTTCTATAAATGCAAAATTAAAATATTTAACCATGTTATACAGATTATATGGAACTGCGGAGCAAACATCGAATAATGGGTGCTCCAGTAGGCACTGCGAACACCAAGGGCTGGAGTCCCAATCAGTCCAGTGAGTTTTCTTAATATAATTATTGCTTACAATACAAAATTAAAAATGACATTTAAGATTTTTCGGGTCCATTCTTTAATATCGTGTTAAGGTTTGACATTTAGCTTCATTGTTGTTTTGGCAATATTTAATTTGCAATATCAAGTTTATCAGTTTATCCAACTTAAAACTCTTAACAAGAGGCAATTTGTCTATTCCCGAAACGTCTAAATCTTTGAATTGCTGAAAAGCAAGAATTTTTCGCAATTGAGGGAACAATCTAAAATGTTGCCTGCTAAAATTGCCAAACAGCTGTTTTACCAAACAGTCGTTACAGCTTTGAAAATTGCCCTAACTTTGTGTGTCTTAGCTATTGCTTAAACTCGAGGAAAATATTCAGGAAAAGTGGAAAGATTAACTTTTTAATTTAATAACAAGCTATGGACTGTCTAAACTTCTTCATTTGCATGTGTATATTTGGTGGTCTTTATTTTAGTAGCAATTGCTAAAATGCTAAAATTTCAGAAAGTTCAATTTGTATGTTACAGCTGATGAGCTCGTGACTCCAAAACATATAAATATCTATTTCTAATCAAGTTAAATTCTTTTTGCAGCTCTACCCGTGGAACTAAGTAAATTCGAAACCCAGTTAGTTTTGGATGAGAATATCGCAATGTTGGTGGACAAATCACAAGCTTTAAGAGCTCCACCCACAGAGGAAAAACTAAAGGAATACAAAAGTGATTTCGAATGTCAACTATTGGGTCAAAAGGAATCCTTAAAGGCGGAAAAGCTTCGGGAAACAGAACGCTATATGGACAAAATCCTAATGGGCAAACGCAACAAGTTGCTTAAACTGGGAAAAGATGAAATGGGTAAAAACCAGTTTAGGAAAAGTAATGGTACTGCTAAGTGTCAACGGTCCTATTTAAATATCTTGCAAAATATTAAATATCATCTATGTATGCTTACAAAAGTCTTATATTAAGTCGATGTCGAATCCATCACCGTTATTCGACAAACATAACATCACTTTTTGAGGTCTAAATATTTTTATCAATTTCAAACTAACTTTATCTATAAATTTCTTTCTGCACCCCTCATTCTTTGTTACATATAAAAGTTAATCGCTCATATATCTTTTAATTCTTTTTAGCTGCGGCTTTAACTGCCCAAGATGTACTCAAAGAAATGTCGGACAACTTTAAATTTGATCGTCAAAATGCGTTGGTTGAGGTGCCCTGTGAACATCATAAAAAGCATTGTAGATAACATTTTTTCTTGATTTTAGAATTGTATAACTTTTTTTTAATACTACCCACAGCTGGAAAGTTGGTCACCGGACCTCTTGTGATCATTAATTCCCTGAAATATCGCATTTTTAAAGACCTTTGGATGCGAGGCAACTTTGTGACCTCTGGTGATGCTTTTGGAGCGGACTTCCTTGTTTATCCCGGAGACCCCCTCATCTATCACGCCTCACATATTGTGATAGTGCAGGATGCACCACTTATTAAACCCTTGGAACTGGTGGCCAAAGTTCGACTCTCTGTTATTGTCAACAAGAGATGCGTTTTTGCATACGAGAGCGACAATAGCGATGAAATCCATTACCAGACTGTAGCTTGGTGCAATCCTTGCAAGTGAGAAAATCAAAGGCAAGTTATTACGAATGTTAAAACAAAAAAGAAAAAAAACCAAACTTCGGAAAGCCGAAGTTTATATACCCTTGCAGCTATTGCAAAAGATTTGATTTTCAGCTCGAATATCTCTTCTATGTCAGCTACATGATATCGTTTTCCGATTTTCATAAAATTAAAAGCGGAATTCTAAATTAGTAAACCATGTCAATTTTGAAAATCTAAAAAAAAATTAATAAACAGCAATCATTTATAAAATTTATTTTTCTGATTGTTCCTTTGGGAGCTATAGGATATAGTTGTCCGATCTGACTAGAGTTGGGTTGCTCATGAATCAAAAAAGAGTTGTTCACTTAAGTGAGTGAAATGAAAATGTTCAAAATTATTGATATTTTTTGCTCAATTGTTCAGTTGCTAACTTGTTCAGTTCAATTGTTCAGTTAAGCAGTTGCTTAAAGATCTTTATTCGCTCCGTTGTTTTATTTGCTGACTAGTTCATTACTTATATAACTTAAATTAATATGTACACATATGGTCTCAAATAATTTATCACCTTGATAGAAAGTTTCATGAAGAAATATAGCTTTAAAACTGAGAGACTAGTTTGCGTAGAAACGGACAGACGGACTGACAGACGGTCATAGCAAGATAGACTCTCAAAGTATTGACTGAAATTATAATACCCTCTGCAAGGGTATGCAAATTCTCAAGCAGGTTTTAAAACTACGCTAGATTTCTAGGAGTTACGTTTTGTGGAATTAAATTATTCATAACCCATGAAATTAATTATACAAATAATCAAAAAAAGTCCACACGCAAAATAATCTCAGTGACCCACTCCCCCTCGATGATTAAGTAGTATAAGGAAAGCTCCAATCCGAGTCAATTTGTAAAAAAAAATTTTCCCTGGTAATTAATTTCTCATAGCCAAGTTTCCAGAGGTTCAATGGTAGCATACACTACTATTTTTCGTTCCTCAATTCGGATTTAAAACATAAAAATCTGTTAAAAACAAAAGTACTTTTCTAAAATTTAAATAACATTAATAAGTTTATAATTTGTGTCTTTTAGGTATGTTCCTCAGTGCAAAATCATACTTCCTCAAACAAGTACCTATTATTTCAGTCTAAAACTTTTTTTCAAACCCCCGATGGTATGGAAAGTTGTTAATTTTGACCAGTGTAGTACATATATTTGCTCCAAAGAATGCAATTTTTTTAAGATTGAGCGGGAGAGAGTGGGACTTCCGTGAGCATGGTTTTGTTTTTGGCGCCGAATTGGGTTTCTTTTTGGAGGAAATTGGATACAATAGCAGAGACACTGCGCTCCCGCTTCGCCCCTCCCCCTTTATCCGTCCCACCTCCACTCTTCTCTGTGCGTCTCTCCACGTTTCTCCGTCTCGCTCTGAGAAGCAGGAGCAGAAACGACAGAAGCTGATTCTCCCACTCACAGTTGGAAATTGTGCACAGTACACATGGTAAAATCGGTTTATTTTGACCACGACATCCAACTCGAGGAGATGTTAGCACGCCACTTCGTTCAGGGACCATCGTTCCAGTAAAGTTTTGATAAATTAATTAGTGAGGAAATATGAGGTTATAATATAAAGGCCCCACCTAATAGAACCCACACTCACGCAAACCGATAGGCAAGCACATAGCGCACACAATTGCGTATTTGTTTTCAACAAATTTGTGCTGAACTCTTCATGTTTTGCGTTCGTTTTAAGTATATTCAGTTTATTTTTTTTTTTAAATAGAAACAGCGACGGCGGATAAGGCGCGGTGGGGAAGGCCAGCCATAAGTCGTGCCATGCCGTTCGAATTTCATACAGTCGGGCTGTCGCACAGTGGCACGAATTTGTCCATTTCTTTATTCAGACGTGATTCACTCTCTTGAAATTAGATCTACTGTGATTATTTGAATGAAATTTTATTTTCTTCTTTGAATTGTATACATTCCACCATGTCCATTATGTTGAAATATCTCGGTGTTATTAAAAATTAATCAGTTATTAATTTTTCCCAAGATATACCTGAAATTCAATAGAACTAAACTAACTTCTGTATCTAAAATTTTCACATAAATTTACATTTTCAAATTTAGAAAATATATATTATGAAATTATCGCCTCGTATCGTAATAATATTCATTGTAATTATCTTTTCTGAATTACTAAATTAACATTATATAAATAGTAATTGTAAAATAAGTTAAATGCCTCCGTGTTCTAAAACTGCAAAGCAAGAAATTTACAAATAAACCCAAACCATGCCAAGTGTTTCTAATTGTCCCACCGTGCTTTGCTCGCGTTTATGTCTCCTACCCTCTCATTCCGTTACCATTACCCCACCACCACCAATCCACTCCGCCTCAGCACCCACCACCACCCCTCGCCCGGTGGTCTCTCTCCCTCTCTTGCCCATGCTCCGTTGGTCGGCGTTGCCAGCTGCGAAGCACGCTCACTGCTTTAACGCCGATTGGAACTTAAAGGGGCCTTTCAAACGGCATTTCTCATGGTCCCAGCATCAAAACAGAGAAATTTGTAATCTTAAAAATTCGGCCACTCGCTCACTTATATTACCACTTCTCTGAGCGTTGGATAGAACTGGCACTCTATTTCCTTCTCTCCTTGGGTTGAACTCGACTAACTTCCCTATCGCGGGGGTCTCTCCGCTCTTAAGCGGGACTTGATCTGCATACGAGAATGAGAATGGCTATATGTTTTCTATATATTTTACCCCATAGGGTCTCTGAGATGTGATGAAAGTAACAGGTGATTGGCGAGGAGAGAGGAGAGTCGAAGACACAGAAAAGAGAATGTAGAGCGGGAGTCGCGGGCGAAGAGCGAGCCGGCTTTTCTACCAGTTTGTTATTATTTATACAGGATCTGTTGATATTTTGGAACCAAAGAGAAAAAATAGTGCCAAATTTATTTATCCGGCATCAAACGATACTATCATTTCGAATAGGAAACCCAAACCCTTGTACACAGAGTTCTATAAAAAGAAATATTTGTTATTGAATCTGCTTCTAAATTTAGTAGATATTATTTTATTAATACTATCTCAATCTTTGTTATTAATCTTTGAACAAAATATTTTGATTTTAACGTTTCTTATCACACTTTATTTAACCTATGAGAAAGTACTTGTACATGATTTTAAAAACCTGATTCCAACCTGATTTAAGGCCAAGTCATATGTGTATTTTTGTTAGTCGAGTAACCTCTACAAATAAGATTATAGTATTAAAAAACATTTCTAATTCCCGTAGTTTAACCTGTTCTAGCGATTTGTAATAACTTGCACACTTGGACCCTTGGACCATTTTTATCACTAATTTTCTTTTAGACTACAAAACTCGAATTTTATTTTAGTTTATTGCAGATGGAGCAGTTAAACATATTTTACAAGCTGCTATAGTTTCCTTGGTTCGATTAAAGTAACGCCGACTCTCTGGCGTTAAAAAATATTAAACAAAGAAGAGAACAAAGGTCTTATAAAATCTCGGCATTCAGACCGACAAAAACCTAATATTAAATTAGACAAGTCACCAAAAAACTCAAACAGTAAAATGGAATATTTAGATCCCACCCGATAAACTTAAACATGTGGACCTGGACCCCATAGACCTTCCTTATCATAAACGCACTGCTCCGGCCGCAGTGCTGGCCACATGTGTTTTGGGTCGGTAAAGTCGGGCAAAATATTTCCATTATTCAATATTTACCACCTTTTATAGTTTTGTTTACTATCTGGTCGACCTTTTTGTGTTGGTGTCTTTTCGTCTGACTCTCCTCTTCTCTCCTCTCTAAAAATACTCTTCCTGCGGCCCATCTGGCAATGCCGCTCCTCGACAACTGTACTTCAAAGAGCGTTGCCAGGCCAGTTCTCTCACAGACACACAGATACACGCACACAGGCGAGCAGCAACCACCACCGTGCGCATGTATTGAGCGCATGACCAGAAATCGTATTTTCTCCCCCGTATAGAGAAAAACTGAAAACCCGCCGCGCTGGCAGCAGCGGAGCAGCAGAAATTCGATCGAAGCGATTTACTCAGCAGCGCCAGCGTCATTTCGAGTTATCCAACGTTGGCGAGCGGACAAGCAGGAGAAAAAAGCGTAGGCCAAGAGAAAGAGAAGGCAAAATTCACCCACGGCACTGAAATTTTCTTTTGCGCTCCGGTGAGAAGATAATTTCACAAACCAAAAACGAATCAACAAAAAACAAAGTGCGCTCCGTGAGCGGGAAAACAATAACAAAATCTAGAGAAACAAGAGGTTATAAAACAAAAAAAATCGAAATGCGTGTCTCATGGCTCGACTGTACTGTATATTAAAAATGTGACTGTGTGTCCATCCTGTCGCAGTTGTGTGCGCGTGTGTGTGTGTCTGCTGGCGTTTTAAATGTAGCGCGCGCTATTTTTGTGTGATTTTTGTGGGCAGAAACGAATTTTGAATCAAATTTTAGTATTATAGTTGGTGAAAAAGTCTCCTCCAACAACAAAATTCCTGTGAGCAGACATGCGTTGTCTCGCTCTCGCGCGCTCTGGCCCCCAAAGAGTGGGAGAGCGGAAGAGCAGGAGAGGGTGGGAGAGCGAGAGCACACGACTAACGTTCGTACTCTTTTTTTATATTTCAGTTTCGTGAAAGCAGCGCGCCAAGCAGCAAGAAGAAGCAGCAGAGGGAGTAAAAAGCAGTGGCGTAGTGAGGAAGGGAGTTTAAAGGGGATTTTCGCGAAAAATCCCGATTTGGAGAGATTTTCCCGTGGAACCGTGAAACATTAAATCGTCGTGTTGGAGACAAATAGCAGCGAATACGCTAGCAACGCTGGGGAGGAACAACAATTGTTGGATTTGGACGCGACGGCTTTGATGTCGCTGCCAATGAATTCGCTGTATTCGCTCACCTGGGGCGATTACGGCACCAGCCTCGTATCGGCCATCCAATTGTTGCGCTGCCATGGCGACCTCGTCGATTGCACGCTGGCCGCCGGCGGGCGGAGTTTTCCCGCCCACAAGATTGTCCTATGCGCCGCCTCCCCCTTTCTACTGGATTTGCTCAAGGTAAGTTGCTAGAAAGCGATACAAAACCTTATAAAAAGAGAGTTTAAGGCACATAACCTCAAACGTGGCGTACAGTTTGTAAACAGAGAAATCCCATCGCAGAAATAGGTTAATGTGTGGAGCGCAGAGACACTTACACATAGGTATCGCAAAATTACGCTCCGCTCCAAAAGTTGTCTAGAGATTTTTGTACAAGTTTTCCACTGTCAAATGAGTTGAATGAGTGGCTCTTGGCCCCCCTTGCCATCCCACCTTCGCCACCGTATCAGCTTTTTCTTGTTGCAAAGTTCACCGGAGAGCAAGAGGGAGAGAGAGTGAGAAGTAAAAGACCATCGCACACAGAGAGGGAGAGAGCGAGAGAACCAGTTGGTTTGAAAAAAAAAAAGTGAGTGGCCCCAAAGGGGGGTGGGACAGAGAGGGGAAGGGGCAAAAGCTGCTGCGCCAACTTTCAGTTCGCATGTGTTAGAGCGAGCACAAACGAGAGCGCCAAAAAAGCAGCGAGGCAACTGTTGTAGTTGTTGGTTGTTTGGAGCTTTTGTCTTGCCTTTTGGTTCTTGATGTTGTTGTTGGTGCTGTTGGGTGCACACGAGCGCGACCTCTTTCTTTTTACTGGCAGAACTGTACAGTTGGCGCTGGCTATGGAGGAATTTTGGGAAAGTGGGGAGCTTTTTCATCAAATACCATGTAATAAGTTTCAAGTCATGATACAAGAAATGTAGATATTTTACAATAATTTATTATAGCATTCACTTCGTTTTAATTATTATTATTATCCATTAAATTTATTGCTTTACAACATAAAAAATCGCAAAAAGAACACCATTTTTAGTTCGAAGGAAGTTATATTATACTAAAGTAGTCCATATTATTGTCTTACAGTTTTGTCATTTACTTCAAATCCTTTGTGATGAGTCTTAGAGAGTTTTTTTTGTTTTCTACTTCTTGTATTCATATATATATATATATTTATATCTGTTATCTTAAAAAGTAATTTTACAATTTTTGAGATAGTTGACCTTGGAAATATGAGGTGTTTTGATTGGATGTCATTTAGTGCAAAACTAAAAATTAGACACATGTTGATATTAAGCAAGCTAAGTCCCTTTTTAAACGAAGACAAGTAAAGAATTTATTAAAAATTTATTTAGAGAGTCAAACTAGGTTTTCAAGTACAGCTAGTAGAACTACACATTTCCCTTTTTCGAATCCCTCCTGTACTCCGCCAAATTAAAGCATTTCATATCAGGGCAGGGTAGGCGCATTTTAAAATGGAGCTTGCTACTTTTTCTTTACTTTCGTGAGCTGCTTTGCGATACTGTACTTTTTAGCTATTCATTTGCATTTGCACTTAACTTTGGATTTCCGCCCGTCTATTGATTATGCACTAAAGTACGAAATACAAACCTTACCGTCCCGAATCCGAATGCGTGGCCCTATTGAAATGAAAAATGAAATGCTGACCAAAACAGAGCGGCCAGCGAAACAAAAACACCTGATGCGACGCTCTTCTCTTCCTCGTTTCTCCTCTCCCCTTCTCTTCTCTCCGGTAGTGAAAAAAGTAAACAGAGCGCAATTTTTAAAATCGCCGCTCAGAGCCGGGAAATGTCCAAAGAAAAAAAAGAATGGGAAAAAATGCGGCTGGGCTGTGAACTCTGCAAAATGTACAAGATGTACTGATCTCGTTACACTCATACACGCACGCCAATACTCATGGCGGCCGCTCTTTGTTGCTCTTGCTCCCTTGCTCCCACGGCCCGGAATGCAACTCAAAAATCGATGAGCGAGAGGGGATTAGAGTTCAAAGAGCGAATAGGGGATTGGAAATGGGAGAGGTAAGGGGTAGATGACATTTGAAGAGATTGAGTGGGTGGGAGAGAGGGCGAAGGGTGGTTTCAGAGCAGTGTTTGCTAATTAAATGACCAGAGAGGGAGCGGGAGCTGCTAAGCGCTCTTTCTTTAAGCGCTGCTCTGTTTTCTTTTTAAGCATCTCGAAATCTGAAAAATCTCCTCAAAATCCTGCTGCAGAACGTGCAGAGCGCGCAAAAGTAAAAGCCGGCTGTCTTTCTCTGTGTGTGTGAGCGGTGGAGAGTGCGGTGTGAGCGGGAGTAGACACGTGTAAGTGTGAGCGCCACGCCGCGAGTTTCTATTATTTTCATCTCCGTCCGTTTGTTTTTGTTTTTGTTTGCTAAGGCGGTCGGACGGGCCTCTATTTTTTGGCTCCACTTTGCCTCTCAATTTACGCTCTGCCAAAAAATGTGAGAAAACGTCAAAACAAACATTACCCTAGGATAGAGTTTATGCTGGGAGTGTAGTCAAAAGAGGAATACCATTCAGAATCTCTTAGTTTTCCATATTTGCAACAAAAAAACATAAGAAAACACCCGTAGTTTTTTAAATCTGTAAATATATTAGTACATAAAACTACCTTTAATATTGTCATTCATATCCATAATATCTGATTCCATTTAATATTTAAGTAACTATTTCTATCATCATATTCTGTTTTCACTAATGACTAAGAAATAATTTAATTAATTTGTAACATTGAGCAATAGAATGGCAATAAACATTAAATATTTTCCATTTTTTTATTTTCTATGGTTAGTCCTTATTTTAATTTAATTTCAATTTAAAAGGGCTTCCAAATTTGTTCATGAGCATTCATTCGATAAGAAACTAATGCCCAGAGTGGAATATAATTTTCTTTAGAAACCCAAACTTGAATTGTTTATTTTTTAAGGGTTAAGGATTTTAGCCAAAACTGTTATTTAATTTTAAGTCCAGAAAGCAATAATTTTTTTTAAGTTGATTTATTTCCAAGCAAACCTAAAATATGTATATTTTGTTCCTTTTCCAGAATACACCATGCAAGCATCCAGTAGTAATGTTGGCCGGCGTGAATGCCAACGATCTGGAGGCGTTGCTGGAGTTTGTGTACCGCGGCGAGGTGAGCGTGGACCACGCTCAGCTGCCGTCGCTTCTGCAGGCCGCCCAGTGCCTCAACATCCAGGGACTGGCTCCGCAGACAGTGACCAAGGACGACTACACCACGCACTCGATCCAGCTACAGCACATGATCCCGCAACACCACGACCAGGACCAACTGATTGCCACGATTGCCACGGCCCCACAGCAGACGGTGCACGCCCAGGTGGTGGAGGACATCCATCACCAGGGCCAGATCCTTCAGGCAACGACCCAGACCAACGCAGCAGGACAACAGCAGACCATTGTGACCACGGACGCGGCTAAACATGACCAGGCAGTAATTCAGGCATTCCTCCCGGCACGCAAGCGCAAACCGCGCGTTAAGAAAATGTCACGTAAGTTTAAAAAACATAAACCTTATTCAATAATTATATTTAAAAACAATAATTATATTTAAAAAAGTAAATTTTTTTTTGACGAAACCGTTAAATCAATTATTAACTTCTAATGGTACAAAAAAGAACGACACTTATGGAATATTTTATTAAATTAATTGAAAATTGAACGGAAAAAAGTTTTAGTATTGCAAACAAATCTATACAGAAAAATTAGATTATTACCTTTGGTGAATATTATGTTTTAACATTAAATGAAAATTGTAAGTATTGAAAAATTCATCTGTTTAATATAACAAGAGCCGTTTCGAAATAATGTTCAAAATACAACCTTAAAGTATATCGATTCTGTTTTTAATGTGAAAAAATGAATACACTATTAAGTATATAAGAAAATGTCTAATAAATTAATTTACGTTTTTGAATAGGATTGTTCTATTCCGAAAGATTTTGGTTTTAATTTTCATGATTCAAATTAATGTGATACCTTTGTATTCCTATTTAGTGCTGGTAACATTTGATAAGAATTTAAATAAACAATTTAAAACATAATTTGTTTGTAATTTAAGCATTGTGCATGACTTGTATTAACAATTAAAATTTAATTTCCTTTTGCAGCTACGGCTCCGAAAATAAGCAAAGTTGAAGGAATGGACACGATCATGGGCACACCAACCTCCTCACACTCTGGATCCGTGCAGCAGGTGCTCGGCGAAAATGGAGCCGAAGGCCAGCTGCTATCATCCACACCGATCATTAAGAGCGAAGGACAAAAGGTAGAGACAATTGTGACTATGGACCCCAACAACATGATACCGGTAACTTCGGCCAATGCGGCAACTGGCGAGATCACGACGGCACAGGGAGCCGCAGGCTCATCCGGAGGCAACACGAGCGGCGGAACATCCACGCCAAAGGCTAAACGCGCTAAACATCCGCCCGGATCAGAAAGTAAGTTGTAGTAGGTTATTAACTTGCTGGTATGAAATGAATAATATTTTGATGATAAGTACAAAAAAGTAGCTTGAAAAACGTTCAAGCACAAGTTAAAATATAGTTCATAAATTGTAAATTGAGCTTAACTAGGATCTCTTCAAGAATAAATTTTGTGCGTTTTTATTGTAATACTCTATTGTTTGATTATTAATCATTTCATAAGAGCTAGTAAACATAAAAACTACCAATTCAAAAGCTGTTCCAAGTACTAAAGCATCTCGATTTCATTTTCAGAACCCCGTTCCCGGTCGCAATCGGAACAACCTGCTACGTGCCCCATTTGCTATGCTGTCATTCGTCAATCGCGGAACCTGCGGCGCCATCTCGAGCTGCGGCACTTTGCCAAGCCGGGCGTGAAGAAGGAGAAGAAAAGTAAGTCCGGTAACGATACCACCCTAGACTCCAGCTTGGAGCTGAACACCACGGCAGAGGGCGACAACACAGTGGGCAGTGATGGACCAGGCGGAGCGGGATCAGCAGGAGGAGCATCATCCGGTACGACGCCAACGAGAGTGATATCGAATGCGCCGCAGGCCGCGGGGGCACCTGCCATCCTGGCCCAAACTGTGCTGCCCCAGCAGCAGCAATTGCAACAGCAACAGCAACAGCAACACCAGCAGCACATGACAACGGCAACATTAGCGGGTGGTGGCCAGGCATACATCAAACACGAGGGCGCTGGCGGAGGCGGCACTGGGCAGCAGCAGCAGCAGCAGCAACAGCAGCAGCAGGCGCAACAGCAGGGCATGCAGAACGTCATACACATTGTGGGCGATCAGGTCTTCATGCCGCAGCAGCAACAGCCGCAGCCACAGTAGCTGCCTTCTGCCGAGCCTTCGATCATTCCAACGCACCAACGACACCACACCATCATCCACATTTCCAAACACACACTCGCATAACACACACGAAAACGTTTTGTAAATAACAATCAAGCAAACAAACAAACAAACAAACAAACAAACAAACAAACAAACAAATTCCCCGTGATCTGATCGAATGATTTGTGTTCATTTCCTGTATCATTTTTAATTTTTCCATAATTAATTGCTGCGTAAGTTTTTAATTTGCATAACTTTTCAAAATTGCGCTTTTCAACATATAACATTTTCGTATGCAGTATTTTCTTGCATATTGTACTACAGAGAAAAGAAAAAAAAAAAAAAAAACAAATGAGAGGACTCCCCAAGTCTCCACGTAAATGAATACTCGACTAACTTACTTAAATAATCTAATTAGTGTCGCAAATAATTGTTGTAAAAATTAAATGTACAATTACAATCGAGGATCGCAATCGGTTTAAGTTTCTCTATTTTAAATATTATATTACAAATTGTTTAATTAATAAAATATTATATATTTTTTTATATAACAAAAACAAAATTAATCTCTGCCTGTGGCACGGACTTTAATTTATTGCAATTGGCTGTTTGTTAATATCGTTTCTCTAAATTGCAAGAAAATACTGTTGGTCAATTTCCTTAGCTACTAACTTCTTGGTACCGATCTAATTTCTGTTCTACTTCTTTCCCTGCAAGAGAGTTGTTTAAAACTTTAATTGATTGGAACCAATCTTGCGGATGTGGAATAGACAATCTGGCTGATAATAGTATTTAAAAGTTTGGAATGTGTTTTGTAGCTCGTTTACTATTTTGTTTTATCTAACAAATAATGTTAGATTTAGTTTTAGTTCAAATTTCTTTGCTCTTATTTAACCTTGTTACGATTATTAACATTTTATTTGTTTCTACTTGATTTCAAATGTTATTGTAAGTTGTTTTGTCCATTGTTTAACTGCCGTTTTCTTTGTAAAAACTTTTCATCTACACAAACCACACATTCTCACATTCCCCCTCTGGCTGGTAGTCCTAGAAGGTCGCGTTGTTTCTCTGTTGGGCCAGCGATGTTGCTCTAGTGTGGTCTCGCTCTGTATTACTCTGACTATCCCCCTACGTAGTTTGGTCCACCGCAGCGGCAGTCTTCTCACCAGCACCACCTTCCTTTCTTCCTTCCTTGCAGCAACCAGTGGCAAAAAGTCTAGCAACGGATCCAGCGGCTCGGGATCGGGTGGCAGTGGGCCACTGAGCTCCAGCGGCAGTGTGCCCCAGGTGCAGACGGTGCAGTCCCTGCACACGCTGCAAGGTGTACAGGTCAAAAAAGATCCAGATGCCCAACAGCAGCAACAGCAACAGCAGCAGCAGCAACAACAGCAGCAACAGCAACAACAGCAGGCAATGGCTGTGGGCGGCTCGGCGGGCGGACAAGTGCAACAGCAACAAGTGCAGCAGGTGCAGCAGCAGCAAGTCCAGCAGCAGCAGCAGCAACAGTTACAACATCACCAAATCATAGACGCCTCGGGCAACATAACAACGGCAACGACGAGCGCTCAAGCGGCGGCTGCCGCTCAACAACAGGCGGCCGGTCAACAACAACAACTAGTGGCTCAATCCGCCGATGGCAGCGAAAGTGGAGCACCGCTTTCGATTGCCCAGGTGCAGACGCTGCAGGGTCATCAGATCATAGGCAATTTAAATCAGGTGAATATGACTGACTTCCAACAACAACAACAGCAGCAGCAGCAGCAACAACAGCAGCAACAGCAACAACAACAACAACAACAGCAGCAGCAACAGCAAACACAACCACAACAGACGCTCTGATCGGACCGCAATCGTAGATCCACCATGTACTATTCTATATAATTATTGTTAATTTGGGTTTTTGCTAAGCGCTTTAAATATTCTCTCGGCGGAATGCGTAGACAAATTCTAAATTAATTGGAAAGAGCCAAAATATGGTACCTTTAGTTGTTTACAATTTTGTTATACAATTTTTATGACTTTAAATGTTGATTTCCCCTTATACAATTAATTTTGTTGCTATTAGCTATGCTTAAATGCGCTATGGTTATTGGTAATTGTGTGCATATCTTATAGTTTCACTAATGTCCCAATGCTGGAGGATCTCAAGTCGGATTGAAATCCTTCAGATCAGTGAAAGTCGATTGATCGCAGGCCCTCTTGTTCATCAACAGATTTTGGCCTCGAGCAATTGCGCCTTGTCTCGGAAGCAATATAGTTAAATATAAATACACTTAGGTAGCTTAAAAAAAAATTTTGATTTACAACAATCTACTTAAGTAGCTCAAATGAGAGCTCGCTCAAGAGGGTTTCCAAATAACCCCAATCTGTGTCTGCCCACCAACAACCACTCAATTAATCAATCAATCCCTTACACTTTCTGGCTTTTGTTTTTTATTTAAGAACTCTGTGCTTTAAGTTTTAATCAAAACAATTTAATATGTATATTTCATAATTTAAATAGTTGAAAATTTTTCTTTATTTTTAGACCCTTTGCAATAATTTGGATAAATGGAATATAACTTTTCGCAATATTGATTTAATTATGTAAATTGAAACGCAAGGATATATTCCATCTACCTGAAGTTGTCAACTTATTGTTAGTCTTTTTAAATACTTAAATAAAATATAATTTTATTTAAAACCAAAAAAAAAAAAATCAAGTAAAATAAACCAACAACTTTTAAAACCACAATTTTTCCAAGTATTTTCTTTTATGTTGAATGCTTTTTTGGTGATTTTGTAGCTGTGTTGTTTTAAACGTAGTTGTAACCCTAACTAACTGCATTGCCTCATATCACTAACGCCCATTTAAATATAATTTACATTAAACTTATGATTTTTGAAAACAAATGCATGATACTATTACTACCATTTATAGTTCTTGTAGTTACTACGGTTGACAAACGAAAAACGATACTTACATCAATATAGTGACAGGAATTTAAACGGGAATCATATTGTGACTAATTGTACATGACATTGCACCACTACACAACAACATAAATCCACTGCACTCATAACTAGATCATTAACGAATCTTTTTTATCTTCTCTCTTTCTTGCTGCCACCTTAATAAAAAATAAAAACCATCTAACCAATCAAATGCAATACATTTGTGTGTAACAACTAAACATCATCATGCATCCCACAACAATTCAAAATCATTCAAAACGACCAGGGCAACAACAAGAACATTTTGGTAAAGAAGGTTTTCATTTTAAAAGGAGGTAATAATACGTAATGATGAGCCAACGATATGTCCAGCGGCCCTGGAGGAGGAGGAGGAGGCGGGAGCGGGCAGCAGCAGCAGCAGCAGCACCAGCAGCAACAACATCATAACACTAGCAGCACGAGCAACAGCAACAACGCTGGCACGGCAGCAGCCACAGTGAGCAGCAGCAGCAGCAACAGCAGGAGCAACACGCCAGCAACATCAACATCATCGGCTGGCACTGGAACGGCAGCAACATCAACACTCCAGCGTCGCATTCTGCGCGGCCATGCGGCGCAGACAACCAGCGGTGAGCGTGTCCTGCTCATCAACTACGTGCCACAATCGGGAGCGGGATCGGGATCGGGAGCAACAGCAACCGCATCCACATCCACTCAAAGCACGTCTCAATTGCCCACCCGTAAGATTCTCCAGGCCAGAGCCTCGGCAGCAGCAGCATCAGCATCAGCCTCTGGAGGCGGCGGAGAAGGAGCAGCATCCTCCTCTTCGCCGCCATCCACGCCAGCTGTCTCGTTTGCCGGACTGGGCTCCGAGGTGACTGTCACATTGACGCGCACCAATCAGCGCGCCAGCGTGACCAGTGTCACAGCCGCCGGTCATATTGTTAGGAATCAGCAGGCCAACACGTATCACCAGAGCACGAATACAGTGACCACAGCATCGACATCGAGCGGCACGTCGGCGATCCATGAGCACATGGCCACGTCAACGTCGCCGCCGCCACTAGTGTTCACCCATCATCCACATCATCACCACAGCCAACAGCAGCAGCAGCAGCAGCAAAATGAGTATCATCAAGACCACCAGTTGGTGGATCACCATCAGCTGGATCAGGAGCACATAATCATAGATCACCATCAGTCGACGGAGGATGATCAGTTGATCGAGTACGACGATGGCGGGACGATTGAGGAGCAGCATCATCAGTTGCAATTGCAAGAGGAACTGCATCACCCACAGCAGCAACAGCAACAGCAACAGCAGCAACATCATGACGTTGTCCATGAGGTGTATCTCCAGTAAGAGAGATTAGAGTAAGACACTAGCTAATAAGTTTTAGCCATTTTATAAATACGTTTGGGACACCCAAAATGTGTGCAAACAGAAAATCGAATTTGACAAAGCTTTAATTTTGTTGGTTTTTTTCATAAAAAAATTCAGCTGTATCTCTAAGTTATTCTCTCCATAAATTCCTTTCCCTTAATTTAGTTGCACACATTTTGAGAAGTTTCAACTAAATCGTGTACATACATACAGCAATTATATAATTAAACTTAGAAACAAAAGGATTTTAAAATACCCGTTTCAACTTGTATATAGATTTCTGACAAGTAGACAAAAATATTTTCCACTGAAAGTATTAATCTTAAAATTTACATATTTGAAAAGGACTAATTTCAATTAAATAGTTGTTAGTAAAGATTATTTTTGTACTATACAAATATCGCTACTACATACATGCTAGTTGAGAGATAACTGCGCATATTAAATAACCATTGACGATCCATTAGTTATTGTCAGTTGTAGATCAAAACAAACAACGTACCGAAACGTAATCAATTGTAAAATATATCGACTTCTATTTAGAAAAAACAAATTTCGCACATAGTACGTATGATATGTATGTATGAATCAAATCAAATCAATTCCGATTGTTTAAGAACTGTTGAAGCAAAAGGGCCCTTAGGATTACGCATGAGATAAAGCTATGAAAGCCTGTCACAAATGAAAAACATGTTCATGTAACCCAGTATTTGGGGCCAAGGCAATAAAGCGAGCCGGTTTGTGTACTGAAAGTAAAATTTAAATACTGGGAGTTGCATTTTTTGGGCTGGATTAAAAAACAACAACAGGGTGTTTATTAATTTAAGTGTTTATTGTTTCTTGCCTTTTTAACGGTTGCCTATACACAATGTTGTCTTCTAATTTACAAAAAGCCTTTTAACAACTATTTTTTGTTATTATTTACAATTTATTTTACTTTTATACAAGTAGCAAACTAATAAGCTACAAACAATTACAAACTACTTTGGGTTTTCATTATAATTAATTTACAGGATGTTTGTTACCAATTTAAATTTCAGAATCGGGAGTGGTAAGCTTAAATTGAAGCGCTTGCAAAGTGTTTGGATACACACAATTGTAATTGAATTGCAATATCTACAATACAGGTTTTACATTAGCAATATAATGAGGCACTAGCTAGACAATGTTTTTCCTTCAATTGCAGCTATTTTAAATAATTTCTTGTAATTTTACTCTTTTTTTTAAGTTTAAAATGTCTTAAAATGCAATTTGAAAAGATTATTGTTCCAAGTTATCTTATAACACTTTTGGACCTGCATTATGTTGATTTATAGTTTTGTTTTAATCGTTCTCTTTAAGCATTTTGATCTTTATATCAATTTGAATTGTCTGATTAAATAGTTTGTTTAAAGTTCTTGTTTAATTTGCAATCTATTAACTTGTTAAGTACCAATTTTTATTTTTCATTTACCTAGTTGCAGCTGAAAAAATGTGTCAAAACTGCTACTCATTACTTGATATTATCTGGCAATTATAGCTATAATGTCTGTGTTTTTATCTGCGTTTATGATGCACTTATTGCCCTGTTTATTTGGCACTTTTCATCAGGCGACTGCTGGCAAAGCAATCGCCAAAGAACCGATCCAACGAATGATACAGATGCGGACGCACATTGGCCAGACCATGATCCTCGTCAGCGTAGCTCTGGAAGGGCATTTATAGAATAAGAAATGTCTCTTACCAGTAACCTGTTCAATGGGCAATGGTACTTACAATCTGCTTGAAGAGAATGTCCTGTCTCTCCAGATTTTTGGCCAAGATCATGGCCTGTTGGTAGTGCACATTATCATCCAGTGTGCCATGAACCAGCAGATACTTCTTGCCCCGCAGCTTTACGGCCATCGTGCTCAGTCTGGAATTGGCATAGCCCACCTCATTCGTGTTGGGCAGACCCATGTAGCGCTCTGTGTAAATGGAATCTGTAAGAAAAGTATATTTTATTATTTATTTTTTAGTTGGTTCACTGATTCGCGATAGAAGTCTACGCACCATAGTAGGCCCAATCAGTGACTGGAGCTATCGAGGCTGCACACTTGAACACTTGGTTGTTATCATTGGCCAGAGCCATGGCAGCGGCGTAGCCACCATATGACCAGCCCCAAATGCCAACGTGATCGGCATCAATGTAATTGTACATCTTGGAGAGGGTTCTGAAAAAAGGAGGAGTTCAAGTGGCTGCTTATAAAGTTTTCTTGTGGATCAATAAATTTTACAACTTCTAATAAAAACGGGAAACATATGTCTGTTGAAAAAGTCTAAAATATATAATTCATAAAGAGAATATTAAAAAAACCTAACATTTTAAAATACTTGCGGTCCTAACAATATAAAATCAGTAATTTTTGTGTGGATAATAATAAAAACGGGAAATATATGTCTGTTGGAAAAGTCTAAAATATATAATTCATTAAGAAAATATTAAAAAACCTTACATTTTAAAATACTTGCTGTCCTATCAATATAAAATAATTGATTTTGATTAGTTAACTTTCTAAATAGTTGAAAAAAATACCAAAGAAAAGAATGACAATTAAAAAAATTTTTTTTTTCTAAATAAATTAATATGAAGATAAATATGTTTGTTTAAAAAAAAAAGGATTTTGGTACCGTATAAAACAAGGACACTTGGCCTTTTGCCATTAAGTGATTTTATTTTCTTAGCTTTTAAACTTAAAATACGAAATTAACTTATGTTTAAAACTTACGCGGTAACGTTGATCTGATCACTGATCTCCACGGTGCCCAACTTAAGGTAGATGGCATGGAGGAGACTCTCGCCCCGAAGTCCAGAGCCTCGGCCATCGATCTTGGCATAGATCACAGACTGATTTGAGGTCAGATAGGTGCCCCAGTCCACCATCCACTTGTTAGTAACCTAAATAAAAGGAGGGATTGGGTTAACTTTACTGCCTAGTTTTTTTTTTAACTCTTTCATTTAGCTTACAGAATAGGAATCTGGTCCACCGTAGACATCCACTAGCATGGGATACTTGGTTGCGCCACTGGTGTCCAAATTGGGGGGCAGCTGGAGCAGAACCTTCGCCTGGAAGCCACCGTCAATGTTCACTGTCAGGATCTTGTGCGAGGGCAGGGCCACGCCCTTCAGTTTGGCGCGCAGGCTTTCATTGGTTTCCCAGTCGATGACATTCGAGATGACAACTTGGGCTACAAAATTAACAAGCCAAATACAAAACAATAGAATAAGCTTGAATTTCATTAAAAAATATTTTGAAAAAACAAAATAACATCAACTAGAAAGGAAGCAAACTTCGACAATAAAATATTTTTTAAATTTCTTTACTTCGATTTTTATGTTTATACGTTTAAAGCAATAAAGCTATCCCGACTTTCTGTTGAATTT